CGCCCCTGGCGGGGCCGAGCCTCATATGAGAACCACCCCACCCTGGAGCCTGCCAGCCCCCGGGGCTGCGACCGGAGGGATCTTCTCCATGCCAAGCTGGACCCCCCTGGCATCCCCAAAAAGAAGGGCCCCCCACCTCCCCGCCCACCTCCCCCCAACTGGGAGAAGTACAGGCAGCGCCGGACATCCCAGCGCCTGCCAGATGGTTCTGGGCACAGCTCTGCCTTCACCACTGCCCCAGTGCCAACCCGCAGCATTGCTGAGGCTGTGCGCGAGCGGTCGCAGAGCCTCACCGGGGAGCAGGGGGGCCGGTCCCGGGGGCACGCCGCTCGCCCCCCTGCCCCGCCAGGTGCCTGGCCCCGACCTGAGCCCCCCGGATTGCTCCGCAGGACGCCCGAGCCCGATGTTGGCAATGCTGAGATTTGCAGGCAAGTGCCATCGCGGTGTGGGGGTGGGAGCGGGGCTGTGGACACAGCCTGGGCATGGGGTGGCTTTTGGGGCCACGTGGCCCTTTGAACCCTGCATTGGTGCATCCTAATCCACCCCCTGGGGCGGGCTGCAGAGTTTTCTCGGGGTGGGGGGTGTCCCTGCCCTCTTTCGGCCTGGCCCTGCATGTCCCAGTCCCCCATGAGCGGGCAAGGAAGCTGACATGGGTGCCCCTGGGTGGGTGTCGACAGGGCGGCAGGCGCTGGGGAGGAGCGGCCAAAGGCAAAGCACCCCTGGGAGATGGAGGAGCAGCCCCAAAGGCTCGGCCGGAACCAGGAGCGGGGCTGGGTCGGCCCCTGTGGGGTGGGTGAGTGCTCCCTCCCCCTACATGGTGGCCCCGGCCCCACCACCCCGGAGGCACCCAAGCTCAGCCCCAGAGCAGCGGAGGAGGTGAGCTGCCAGGGGGACCGGCCCAAGCCCTGCCGCGTGGACTCAGAGGAGCTGCTGTGGGACGTGTCGGGCAGGGACCACTCCCTGGCCAGCATCCTGGCCCCGTCGGCTCCCCTCGGCACTGCCACTGAGGTGATGGGTGAGCTGCTGGTGGCAGGGGAGCGGCAGGCCTGGCGGGAGCGTTTACAGCAGGACTGGCAGCTGGAGGCCCTGGCACAGGACAGGTAGGGCTGGCGTGGCACCGGGCACCCTGCCGAGGACAGGCTGCACCCCGCCACCCCCGGCGCTGAGCCCCTGTCTCTGCAGGCAGGGCTTTGAGCCCATCTCGCCGCCCCCCGGTAGTACTGCCAGCTCTACCTCCTACCCGGCGTATTACGGCACGGCAGCAGCCAAAGCTGAGCCGCTCAGCAAGGTGAAGGAGCTGCCGGAGGTGGTGGAGGGAAGCTCGGAGGACGAGGAGGAGGAGGTGGACCACAAACTGATGGAGAAGAAGGTAAAGCAGGCACTGCTGGGGACGATGCCCTCAGGGTTCCCCACTGCCATTGCCAGGTGCTGGCAGGGACCAGGGGCATTGCTGGATGCTCATGGGGACCGGGGCATCATTGGTTGCTCGCGGGAACTGGGGGCATCACTGGATGCTCATGGGGACCAGGGACATCGCTGGGTGCTCACAGGGACCAGGGGCATTGCTGGATGCTCACAGGGGCTGGGACATTGCCTGATGTCTGCGAGGACCACGGGCGTTGTCAGGTGCTTGTGGGGCCTGGGAGTGTCACCAGATGCTCATGGGGAGCAGGGGCGTCACCAGATGCTCGCAGGGACCAGGGGCATTGCTCAGTGTTCGCAGGGACTGGGACATTGCTGGATGCTCTCGGGTACTGGGGGCATTGCTGGGTGCTTGCGGGGACTGGGGGCATCACTGGGTGCTCACAGGAACTGGAGGCATTGCCGTATGCTCATGGGGTTTGAGACATTGCTAGATGCTTGCAGGGACTGGGGGCATTGCCAGTAGCTCATGGGAACCTGGGACATCGCAAGATGCTCATGGTTTGTGGAGTCCAGTGCAGCGTGGCACACCTGCACCCGTGTGCCAGTCCTCCAGTCCCAACAGGGGGTGGCCCCAGTTGCCCCTGACCCCTTCCCTCCGGCAGCTGCAGCTGATCGAGAGCCTGAGCCGCAAGCTGGCGGTGCTGCGGGAGGCACAGCGGGGGCTGCAGGAGGACATCAGCGCCAATGGGGCGCTGGGCGAGGATGTGGCTGCCCGCCTGCAAGCCCTCTGCACGCCGGGGGAATTCGACAAGTACCGCCTCTTCGTGGGCGACCTGGACAAGGTGGTCAACCTCCTGCTCTCCCTCTCGGGGCGCCTGGCCCGGGTGGAGACCGCCCTGGGCAGCCTGGGGCCACACGCCTCCGCCGAGGACAAGGTGGGCATGGGGCACGGCGGCACCTGCACGGCGTTGGGGCGTGGGACCCCCCACCAACGCTGCCCGTCTCACCCGCAGGTGGCCCTGCGGGAGAAGCAGCGGCTGCTGGCAGCACAGCTGGAGGATGCCAAGGAGCTGAAGGAGCACGTGGGGCGGCGGGAGGAGGCGGTGGGCGCCATGGTGGCGCGGTACCTGCCCGCTGAGCACCTCCAGGACTACCAGCACTTCGTCAAGATGAAGTCAGCCCTCATCGCTGAGCAGCGGGAGCTGGAGGAGAAGATCAAGCTGGGCCAGGAGCAGCTCCGCTGCCTGCGTGAGAGCCTCGGCCAGGCCCCCAAGGGCTGCTAGCCCCCTGCCCAGCCTCTCCCCGGGACCCTGGCTGTGGCCCCAGCTTGCTGCCAAAGCAGATCTGGCCCCTCAGGGGCTCTCCCTGCATCCATCCGTCTGTGCAGCCCCCTGCCTTTTATTTATTTTTCTGGTTTACCGAGCAGGGGAAGGAGTGCCAGTATAGGCACTGGCAGTGGGGGTCATGCCACAGAGCTGCCCTGGGCCCTATGGCCACCCAGCACCCTGTGGCCCAGCAGGACCAGATGGACGAATCCTGCCATCTCCGCTCTCCCCCAGGTCTTTCTGTGCCTGCGGGGGTCCCTCCACCTTGTCCTGGGCACCGGTGCCTGTCCCGCAGCTGGTGCTGCACCATGTGCCTTAAACACCCCCTTCGGCTGCCCCAGGGCATCCCCACACAGTGCCTGGAAGGGTTAAACCATCCTCGCCCTCCGCCGTGTCTGTTTGTCCAGCTCTGTCCATCTGTCCGGTGGGAGCGGAGGAATTTCGCCCCCGGCATCCTCTTCCTCTCCATTGTGTCCAAAACAATGGCCCTGGCCAGCAGGTCCTTAACCCGTTCCCTGCTGCCCTGAGGCACCGTGGGGACCCGACGCGGGTGCTGGTGGGTGCTGTGCACCCCTCTCCCAGGGAACGCTTCGGTGGGTGCCCCTGCAATGGTGCCCTGCCAGGGGATGGGGTGCTGGGAGCAGTAGACCGGGGGCTGCAGGTGCCCCCTGCCACCAGTGCTGTGGGCATGGGCATCACGCAGTCTCTGCCCCCGCACCAGGAGGGATTAATAGAGGAAAAAAACACGATAAGGACGAAACAGGGCACCTGTCCCCCTCCTCTGTGCTGCAGCAGCCCCAAATAGCACTTAGACCTCACCCTGGGTCACCCCACCGCCTCGCTGCTGTTTGTCTGTCCCCACGGGACAGGCAGGTGCCTCGATGCTGATTTTGCACAGGAGTTTCATGCAACTGGCAGCAGCTTGGCATGTGTGGGGGGAAGCGTTTTGCGGAGGCACGGTGGGCCTCACCCCTTTTGGGGGTGGCCACAGCTGGGCAGCCCAGCTCCAGGGTGCAGGCAGCGCCCATGCCTGCCTGCTCGGCACCCGCAGCCCCCCTGCGGGGCTGCCCCCCCAGCCCATTGAACACTACACCCCACACCTACCTGGCCCTACCTGGGGACGGTGCCTGGCAGGAGCGGGGTCCCCTGCATGCCCCCCGTCTCAGCCACCCCCCGTGCCTGCCCGGGGACACTGCTGGGACCAAAGACTGCACCCACTGGGAGCTGCGGGACATGCTGCTTGCAGGGGGACCAGCAGCCCTCAGCAGGTCACTGTGCCGGGGGAGCGTGCCGGTGCCGGTGCCTGTGCCTTGCTGTGTGCCATTGTGCCTCTCTCACACTAAAGGTGCAGCAGCTGCTGCACGACTTTCCGAGTTGTGTCTCGTGTGGTTTGTCCCTGCATCCCCAGCCAGCAGCACCGGGACTGGGGAGTGCCCACCGGGGGGGGAGTGCTCCAGCTGGGGTGAGCCAAGCCCTGGCAAGCTCTTGGGACCCAAATGCCCCCATAGCACTGCAGGCACCTGGGGCGCAGCCGTGGGCAGGTGAGTCCTCTGCACCCAGTGCCACCAGACTGGGTGGGCAGGGGGCAGTGCCTGCACCCCTCCCCAGGTGCACATGGAGGGGGCACAGCGTTTGGGTGACGGTTGTAGCGTTGTACCTGGCACTCACAGCCACAGCATCGGTGCCAGAACGTTTGGGGTGGCACCGGGGAGGGGGCGGCCCGGTGGGGGTGGCAGTGCCGGGGAGGTGGCACGGTGCTGCTGCTGCTGAGCTGGCTCTGGGTTGCCCTGGGCCCCTGCGTGCCAGCCGGCCACCGCGGAGCGGGTCCTGGCACCCCCTCCCCGTGCAGCCCCACGACCCGGGGCAGGGCCGGGGGAGCCGCGCTGCAAGGGCAGCGCTGGCCGCTGGATGGCACCAGCACCCGCCTGTCAGCACACGCGCACGGGCGTGGGCGCGTGCGCACGCACACACATAGGAGTGCAGGTGTGTGTTAGCACACGCCCGTGTGGGTGGGCACGGGCGCGCATCAGTGAGTGCGTGCACATGTGTTGGAGCGTATGCCCACGCACGTTGGCACGGAAACACGGGAGGATGCTTGCGTGTGAGGCCGTGCCTGTGAGGGTGAGCACATGTGCACAGGGGTGAGCGTGCGTGAGCGCATGTGAGCACACACCGGGGTAAATGCATGCACGCACATGGGAGCATGTAGATGAATGGCTGAAAGCACGCTGAGCGTGAGCACGTGGCTGCATGGGCGAATACAGGCACACGCACTTCAGTGCGCTCAGGTGAATACATGCAGACACAGGTGAATGCATGCACACGCGTGTGAGCACACATGCACGCACAGGTGAGTACACACCGTGCGTGTGAGCACACGTGCACAGGGAGAGGCACAGCCCTGTGCCGGGGAGCACGAGCACCGGTGGTGAGTGACTGCACATGCAGGTAAACACACATGTGGGTGACCGTGTCCACGTATGTGTGATGTGCACATGTGAATGCATGCACACACAGGTGAGCAAATGCATAGGCAGCTAAGCACATACGGGTGAATGCATGCGCATGTGGGTGAGTGTGTGTATGTGTGCATGGGCAGGGCCACTTGTGCAAGCCCATGTGTACAGATAAACACAGGCACACGGGAAGGGGGCCGCATGCAGGTGTCTGTGCCCCGTGGCCTGTTTGAGACCCGCTTGCCCCTCCATGCGGCTCCCACTGCTGCCAGGCAGGACCATGGACCCAGGACACGGGGGGCATGGCTGGGCTGCTGGGTACTGGGGCCCTCAGTGCCTGCGCTGGATGTGGCCATGAGGTGGGGGGTCCTGGGGATCCCTGCGTGGGACCCCAGGGGAGCTGTAGGCCAGCAGGACCCTGCATTGTAGCATGCAGGGCTCCCGGGTCTCCCAGAGGTGCAGACAGGATCCAGACACGCTGGGGTAGCCCCTGGCCCTGCTGTCTGCCTCCCCATCACTACAGTCTCTCCGTTTCGCAGATCACCAGTCCGTCCCCCCGTATCCCACACCTCTGATGGACCAGGACCTGGGGGAGGATGAGGATGTGGTGGGCAGTGATGCTTCAATGAGAGCCAAGCCCCCCCACCAGCCCCCTGCCCCACATGGGAAATGGGGAGTCCCAAAACACAGAGGTCCAAACCCCGCAGCAGCCCCCCCTGCCCCCCTGCTTATCACAGCCAAAGGGCAAAGTCATG